CCCATGTAAGGTTTCTTGTAGTATGTTGACTACAGGAGATGAAGGGGGGGGCTATGGACGATTCAAGGAGAATGTAGATGGTTGGGCAACAAGAATTGGTAGTTCAAGCCTCGATAGCTGGCGCTTTAAACCTATTTAGAACTTGTACTGTCCTAACTATTGCATCTGGGTCCATTGCTCTGCTTATTGGATGAAGTGAATTGACATAAGAATGACTATCGTGACAGGAGAGAGGAACTTTTTGTTTTACTTTAGTGCTGTCCTGTCGGCCAGATAAAGGAACTGACGATTGATTAACCTAGCCTGTGTGGAACAGCCTATAGCTGATGGGACCCATCCTCTGATTGATTCTGAAGGAATGAAGTTCCTCATCTTTAAACAAGGTGCAGAACTACTCATTTTGTAAAAATTCTATCGTTGTAGATTCCCAGACAGAAAAGAATGTTTTTGTAGAGTTGGAATCCCTTCTTTTCACCTTTTGTGCTGACTATATCATGCTGTGTGATAATCTAAATGGCCTACCTGCACCAAACGGATGTAAGAAATGAAGCCTGTTCTTCCTAATTTTTGTGTTGCTTGTTAAAAAGACGTATCCTAATGATAATGTCATTCAATAAGGGTTGAGTTTAGTGGATATTCCATTCAGAGGGTAGAATCGAAATACATTCATAAAAGTTCTTTTACACCCTCTTCGAATTTGTTGACAACGCCCTCACGTAGTGGTGTGCAGCGAAATTGAATCCGACGATTGTTGGACTTCAGTGCCTCCAAATGCTAACAGCGATTAGCGAAAAAAGATGATGGATTTGCCTGATTAAGAAAGGAATGATGTGTTCCTGTGCTGGAAGGCTCAAAACTTGCTCCTTTTTGGTCGCTATTGTCACTCATCTAATACAGATGCTTTCGCTGACTAACCCTTTAGTAGTTTAGAGTGGTATTAAGCCATCGCTAAACACTTTTTATGCAAATTTTTTGGCCCCAAAGAGATAATGAGTCTATTGAATCCACAGGCGAATTTATGGCGGGCCAACTTGAACTTCATGGAGTGTTCCTACTTCTGGCTCTATTGCAGCTAGCTTCTGTACTCCTCCGAAATTGCCATCAACGTTGGTACGGGTGCATCCTACTTACTTCCTGTTTCAGTATTAGCTGCCTACTTCTCCCATTTGAGTTGCGACCTCATGCCACTTATCCTGCCATTATCTTTGGGGCTTTTAGCCTACTCATTTACCTTTTCAGTAGTTTGATGAATATTTGATAGGGTTGATGCCACTTATACAACCACGAAAACTTTGATGACCTTTTTAGATATCGCTGCAGAGTCAGTTGATTAATAAGTAATAACCTGTGCTGTTCTTGACTTGCTACTCTTTTATTCTATCCTCGGCAAGGAAATTTAATGCACTCAGTTCCAAGAGGTCCTACTCATTCTCCGAGTACTCCTGTTATGGCTATTAAGTATGCGCATTTTTACTAGTAGTTATTGTCTATTTATTGCTATTTTTCTCTCATTTTCTCCCTTTTTCGACTTTAGTGCTCTTTTAAACATTTGTTGACAATACGGCTGAAGGGCACATATTTGGGAGAAAATGCTGACTTTTTCATTTATCTAACTGTACTCGCTTCGCCAATATTGGTGTTGCTACCAGTTTTTAGTAGGATCGGTTACTCATCTGCCTAAAACCTCTTATCTTACAGCACAGCACAAGACAACGTGCGAAAGATAAAAAGACGTGAATCCTTACCCAATGTGTTATAATAGCCGATTCTGTTTTTTGACCTCGTAAGCTGAAGTCATTGATACTAAGCCAGTGCTGCTAAATAGTTTTTATCTTGGTAGTACTGCCTGATGCTTTGCCTAGCGTTGGAAACTGAGACTGAAGCATAGACGAAGCAGAAGCTCCTTTCATTTTTATTGTCCTATTTATGAAAATAGTCCCTGTATTCTACTTAATCCATGATATCTTTTTAGCAATATGCCCATTTAATGTTTGAAACTGCTGCCCATTTGATTAGGCATTATTTCTCTTCTCTAGTCAGTGTCATTTTGAATTACGCACTGTGCTGTGCTGTTTGACTGACTCATTTTCAAGACTGGCAAACAACCACACACTCAAAGCATTGCTTTTCTTATTATTTAGGTGCGTTCACAAACATCTGCTCAATTGGGGTCTGTTTCGGAGAAAAAATTGAACACCACACCTGTTCCCGCTCAAGATCTTTCGTTTTTCTTCTAACGTGACCCCTACAAATGCACTACCGAAGTGGAGGGCTCAAGTGCCGCTTGCAAACGCAAAGCGAGGCAATTTAAATTGCACTTTTTGGTTGCTTTAAATTCGGCAAACTCATTTCAAAAACGACTTGCTGCACTAAATTGTTCTAAATTGATGAAGAAATGGTCATAATTATGTGACGTTGGTGGTGAAAGTGCTAGCAGATATGCTCTTCTAGTTGATGTTTCGCACTGTTCGCCTTAATTGCTCTATTTTTTCATCCTCAGGTTTTTAAAGCTGTTTCTAAGAGGCCAAATATATCGCCATGACGGTACTCTGAGGGCAATAATCATCAAAGCCGAATGCTGTAGGACCGACATTGCGGTCTACACCTAGTCGGACCCCATACGTAAACGAAAGTAGTGTACAATGCAATCATCTCTCTTATGCTAACAAGGTTTTGAATGTTTGAAAGGACATCAGTAAGAGTCTCGAACTATAAATAAGAAGACTGCTTAAAATTGGGAAAATTTTGTACGGGAGAAAGACTTATTTGTAGGGTAAGTAGTGCCTTTCGTCGCCGTTATTCTCTTTGACATTTTTATCTATCATTATTTTGTGGTTCCTTTACCGGAACTGTCAGAGGTGGAAGAATGAAAATGAGTTCGGTATAAATGCAGGAATGCTTGAATTCTAGTTTGAAAATCACAGTATGATCTGTTTTATTAACTCCATTATTCCATGCAAAGTCCAGTTCCTCCATTTCCATTTGAGTAAGTCCTGGAGGCGAAATGTATCAACGTCAAAAATAGTTTCTACCTAGCAAGTGATTAGATGTTGCTGGTAGTTTTAAGCTTCTCGCTATTCATCGTCCTGTTGTCTGTTAAGGCCTTCCATGTAAGTGTCCAATTTGCAAAACTTTTCATCCAAACTATCATCTTCCTACATCCTCATTAAAGACGCATCGTTTTCTCTTAAGACGCCAGATATTTTACTTCTTGCAGGAGGAAGTGTAGGACTGTCCCGATTTACTAAAGTTAAAGATAAAAGTGGTCCACCGACATAGATTAGGTGATGCAAATGTTAGGCTCTCCGTATACGGCGGTGTACTTGCCTCTCCGTTTAGATAAGCACAATTTTCGGGTAAATTTCTTCTTCCTAGTAATGGTTAAAAGGCAGCAATTCAAATCAGTGGTCTTTCAGATTTCAGCAAATTTATGCGACAGCTTACAAACAACTTCCACCAATAAATAGTGTGAATTCAATGTCTAAAATGGGTTTAAAATGGCGAGGATGTAGATATAATTAAATAGATTTCGTTTGAGGGTCAGACAACAACAGGTAAGAGCAGCATCTTTAGTGTTCCGTGAAGTTAGAATAGTATGATAGAAAAGCATTACTGTCATGCAAAAGACCTGAGGTCAATGAAATGAGTCGGGTTGATGCCGCCTAGTGGATGTACAAACTACAGCGGCTTTGGGGGGGGCGGGGGCCTTATCGAATGCAGGGTTAAAAACCTATCAAAGCATTACCTAGACCCTTTATTATACTGTTAAATCCGCCATTAGAATTCCTCTTGGTCAACCTTCAGCTTAGACAATGACAACGTGATCAGTGCTTTAATATAAAAAAACATCCGTGAACCGTCCACGCCAGTCATCGAATTTAGGTGCAGCTAAGAAGATATTTGATTTCTTTACTCAAGCATCCCAACGTTTACAATGGGGAAATGCAGTCCGGTTAGTTAAAATTTAACTTTTGTAGAAGGTGAAGTGTAGTAGACCCTAGACCATCATGTGCGCTGGAGTGACCCTCCGAAAGACCTAAGTCAAAAAGCTTGAAAATGATGGATTGTCCTAGGACATATTCTGAAGAAATTTTTTCACATCTGTACCCACCCAATCCGAAATGTAATGGGTTTATACATTTTGTTCACGAGATACGAATTGTAAATCCACGGGCAAAACATTTTGATGCCTGCCATTGTTTCACCGACAGTCCTGCATACAACTCTATCTCGTAGATTTTAAGGATCCGATTGAAAGTAAGCAAAATGCAAAACAACGTGGCTGAATGGAATACTCAGTGCAGGGTGGTCCATGATCAACACCAGATACGCTGGTTTCATGGCTAAATCTGTGGTATTTTAATATACATCTCCTAGACTGTTCGTGAAATATTGGCAACATTAAGGAATAATATGACAAAATACAGAAAAGAGATTTTCGGTTAGGGTTTTCCTGTGGGTGAATTAGTGAAGCAAGGAGTAACTACGATCTTCCCAAAGCACTACTTTACTCCCTCAGTTAAGAACCTCGTCCGCCTGCGGCAATGGAGTCTGGAGATTTCTCCACTCTAAATATATTTGACTCATAGTAGAATGGAGAAAAAAACAGTTTCGATGAATGACGGTAGATACAATACAGGTAGATCAAAGCTGTAATTACATCGGTTACTGAGGAAAGGGTCAGGATATTTAATAAAGGTGCTGTAGATACTGATGCTGATACCACACTTGTTGGCGAGGAGGGAACGTAGTATGCAGGCACAAAAGTGAGGGACATTGCGGAAGACGTTGAAGTTTACGCCGGAAACGGTAACAGAATCCAGATAGGATAATAAACTGAATTAATTATGAGGTCAACTCATGTTCCTTTGCAAAATAGTAAAATAAATGAAGAAAAGATAAAGCACTTGACTCACGCAAAACTGTTAGTCTACAGTGGCTTATCCTGACCCCGTGCATGTTAATAGCAGCCGCCCTTCCACTCGCAAAGGTGTCATAAATTATAAATCCTTTAAGATAAAGGAGCAAATAAATAAACGTTTGCATTGAATTACTGATAAGTGTAAAATGTAAAACAATGAAATACCATGAGACCGGTTATCAATGCGTGCCATATTTGCATCCACAGAGCACTCCTCTATCCGTCCAAATGGTGCGAATAAGAGAAAAAGTTCTTCTAACGTAAATCGAGGAGGAAGGTTCCATACATAGACGCAGCTCTTATTTTGATCAACTAGCGTCGGTTCATAAGGCGACAAATTTGCAAGAATTGGTACCATCATACTTAACACTGGTAAAGAAAATAATGATGCCGCAATCATTGTGTGCAAATAACTTTATAAAGATGGAGAGGGATGTGACATGGAGGTAGCAAATAGGAGCTACCTGTCTAAATTTATTAACTACTTACTTGGGACAGCCGTGTTATCTGGATAGTCTCTCCAAGTAAAGTCATGTATGGTAATAGGCGGCAAATAACTAGGTGGTACTGCACCAAAACGCAGCAGTGCTGAGGCTATGTAAAGAGCGGTGTAATAAGGACTGGTCATAAAATCATTGTTTAGCCACATTGTTAAGTCATTCAATGCTTCTATAGGTGGGTTTTGTTCACCCCGCAATGGTCCAAGGCCTCGATAAGAACGATTGATTTGACTTGAAGTGGATGAAAAAGCACCAGCCTCTGGCGGTCTTTCAACGCTAATTAATAATTCAATCGATGTTTCCTCCACCGATACCGCTAGAGGGAGGTCTTCTCCTTCACCTTGCTCCTCCGGTGGTGTTATAGAGCCTGCATGAGAATCTGAAGGCACCATTACATTATGCTGAGCGCTCCACTTACCCCCATTCATAACTAAAATGTTAGTTGGATTTAATGAGCAGAGGCTAAAAATATGATTTGAACTATTAGGAATGAGAAATCAACAGCGTTCATTTCGCATGTGTTCAGAGTGAAATTCTTAAAAATGAGTCAATTTTATGGTACCTTAGAGTAAGTAAAGCACATTTTACGGCATGATAATGGACTTTTAAGGTTTAAAAGAAATAATTTGCAGATTTATTTTGACTTGCGAAGTAGAAGAAACTCACACTTGCATCAGGGGTAACATTATTGACTACTGGAGTTAATAGTACTTATGACTTTTAAGTAAACTGAATGAATGACAGAGCTGAGATTAAAATTTGCAAATGATGCCTCCCCTAGAGGAGGTATAACAAGTTAAAGCATGAAGTATAAATCGGAGGGCGCTATCACTTGAAGTGCTTCAAATTGTGCACTGGTAGGGCAAATTGGAATCAGTCTCCTATCCATATTAAATGAAAAAGGTTTGTGTTCTGAGCCGTTTGACAAAAGAGGCCGGTTAAGCAAGTCATTGGTCGAACGGTAAGAATGAACGCAAGCACACCATTGAAAGTCAGTATAATTTGGCAGTGTCATACAAAGTCTTGCAAGGCACCTGGTAGAGCGGAATATTCGCACCAGATAAGCACCAGTTCGGATGGGTAACAGAACTAGAAATTGGACAAACTTTGTCCAATTCGAGTCCTCAATCCCACTTAGATCACTATTTTAACAGAATGTAGGAATGAGCCAAAGGTTGGACTTGGAACCTAATCAGTAATAATATCTGTGGAGACTGGACCTGATAACTAGAATTGGCATGATCTTACAATAGATACATATGACGCTTTCCACTGATCGCCAGGCATATTTTTTCTCCTTTCAGAAGGTTCCAGTTCTGCCATCTGATTTTTGAGACTTTTTTTGATGAAAGATTTAATTTCTCTTTTCAAAGTAGTATTTCTCACTTTATTTGATTGATGTTTTACCTCTTAACCAAATGACTTAGAATAGGTTTTAAGATTCCCATCCATCACAAATGAAGCATTCGAGACGACAAAGGACTTGAGTTGTTCATCTGGGGAGCAGAACAACAGTAAGAAAGCTGACGAACTGTAGTTGGCGATAAAACAAAAGAAATTTGCATTGAAATGGGTGACCTTGAAAGGAAGCACCTCTTTGTCCGGTAGGCTAGCAATTTTGCTATTTGACTCTACAAATTGGACAAAAAAAGAAAGGACACTTCGGGTAGTTTGTACAAAAAATGTGAGTGAGGGGAAATTCTAAAAAGGTGTGCTTTGAATTAAGCGCCTAACTGTTTGATAACATTCATTTGTCTGAATAGCACGAAATTCTCCTATTCTGGAAGCCTCTCCTGTGAACTGGATGGACTCTTAAATCCAACTGCCCACCCTTCAGTGTGTAGACAACAACTGTTGCCCTTCAGATCGTAGACAGCGTATATGTGGCACACGACTCTAAAGGCACGCTTGCTGAAGTAAGTTGGAGTGCCATGGGCTAAAGTTGGTACATGTACCTAGACGGTTGTGTGCATGTCTGCTATGGCCCATCTAGATAGCCACGTTTGTCAGACTTAATACCCAGCTCTAATTGTAGTTTACGGAAGTCATAAAATTCAGTGATCTTTCAGATTTGCGTCAAGACGCTGTCAACCCACACAAACAAATCCTATTGATATATTTCGTGGAGTTAATGCTTAAAATTGGCTTAAAATGGTGAATTCATTAATTACATTTCTTTGGGTTTGTGAAAACATGTGTTGAGATCTAGGAGTTGCAGCGACCTAAGTCTATCCTGGAGTCGTAAGAAGTCACGGTAATTTAACAGAAAATGTATCGTTATCTTGCAGAAGTCTGTATTTGCTTGACATTTGTTTTCCGACCTTCCAACCTGCCTGCCTTACCAGCTAAAATATTCCCTTTCTAAACCATTGCCATGGCAGTGAAATTTTACTTCTGGTCACCTCTACTCTGTTGCCTCTCCACCTCTTGCACAGGTTCCCTTCATGCATCCCCTTTTTAAACTCTCGTTTGTAATTTATAGCCCTGCTCCTGTGTAAACCATTTTGCAACTCCCTTAAGCACTTGTTTGAACGTGGTTGCAATAAGGGACAGTGGCTGGACAGTTCTCATGTCTGGATGTCACTCCTAATGACGAAAAGCAATTTAACAAAAGCATAAGACGAGTTTCTGGTTGTCTGTCTATTCAAATACTCGGCCCGGAGGTAATGAAGCCAGGAGGAAGTAAAATTTGAGGAGGCTTAAGTGCACGCGCAATGAAGCGCAAAGTTAAACAACCTATTAAAGCATTAAATAGACCCCATCTATTCCTTTGAGCAACGTGTCTAACTCTCCCCTTGCCTTAACTTGCCATGTCGGTAACCATAACGCAGTCGGTGCTTCAAAATGAAAGTGCCCACGGACAATCTGACATCAGTCATTGAACTGGAGCGGAAGTGAAAAGATATTTGCTACCATTTGCAATGAGGAGACAAATATCAAACTAAACTTAAAGAATCCGTTTTCTCAAAAACCTTATCAGTTCACAAATCACCAGACACGCTCAATCAAGAATCAAAGGGGACAGTACTTCCTCAACAAAATTTTTGATTCTATATGCAGTTTCACACACAAGTGCTGACATGCCAAGAGCGCGAGAGATAACGTATCCCTGAGGCAGGAAAGGCAACATTCAGAGGCACTACGCCATCACGCGGAAGGAAGCCTCCCTGTCTACCGTCACTGTGATGATGATATGTGCGTCCTCCACGGAAGGAAAGTTATTTAGGTGATTGAAAATTCCAACAGGGGAAGGAATTCTCGAACTTCAAGACTTCTCTTAAAGGAAGTGAGGTGAGACGAGGTGAGAATAGGTGTGTAGGCACTGAGATCGAACACAATAAGAAGCAAGGGAGATTCCTATCGCTGTTGCTAAAACTCAACAGGAAGGGAGTCTGAATGCATCAGTAAGTGGCCTACGAAATATTAACTCGCCGACTCAATCATCTCTACAGTAGACTAGAGAGAATGAGATGGGGTCGCTATACAAGCAGATGTTTTGCCTCGGATAGCACTTCCGTAAAATTTAATTTGTGACTGGGCATCTAAATTCATAGAAGTAGAGATCAACAGTTGAGTAACTAGTAAAGAGTCATTTAAGTGGAAACGCGATTTTAGCAACTACTGCTCTATTTCACTGACCATCTAGCTCTTGGCGTAGGGATTCTTAGTGAAGCAAATAGGTTAATTGCTGCATCATAATGGCAAAAGTGGTGGAGGCTTGTTGCTCACTACTGTCACAATTTCTGCTCTCATTATTAGTAGCAGAAAATGTTCCACGACTCCGTCTCTAATTGATTTAGAATGTCCTCACCACTTTCACCCTACATTGTGTTTTATATTGTTGTATTGCAGAGACAGTGAATGCAAACTACACACTGCAAAAACACTTCCATTGGAGTCGTGTAGGGCCTACAACCATTCAGTTGCTTTGGGATGTCGGGAAACCGGGTTTACTCTACGTCACCCGCCTTGTAATGATTGCAGCGCAACTTTCTTCCACTGCCCCCTCCAAGCTTACAAATGCAGATTTTCCAGACGGAAGCATAACTCCCGAATGAGTGGAGCCCAAAACATTGTACAATGTGACAGGAATCTTATCCAAGCAGCAGCAATGAAATAGGCTTAAGCGGACCAAATCAAACACGCCTTACTGATAAGTCGGCAAGTTTGATGATGATAAACAGCAACATGTCGAAGAATAACATGTCCTTTTACATAAGATTAAGAGAAAGTGTTGTCACGACCAGCGGTCCAGACGGATCTACTTAAACCTTGCCCATTGGTAATCCAACAATTTCCTTTGAAATGATCATCTCCATATCAAAAGATAACGTGTCTACTTACTTAGGGAAGCATCTCTGGTCTCCTATTTGCTTGCATCGCAGCAGTCCTTGCTTCAGCTCTCGCTTAAGTCAGTGAAAATTAGCAACAGTCTCAGCTGCTTTTTATAATGACAGCCCGTGACTTGACTTTACCCTGCCCACCCTTCTGCATTTTAGGCTCCCATGATGCAGGCCATGCTCTAGCGCCATCAATGTAGCTACTCAGATTGAACATATCCTGAATGGCAAGTAAAGTACATTGTTATGTTTACTTT